TTTTAAGATTTATTTATTTGTGCATACAGAACTGGGTACAGACCAGAGATTCAGGGGTGGCGAAAGACTTCACCAGAGACAGAGCGGGGAGCAGAACAGGCAGATCGACGAAGTGCACTGCTGAGGGGAGCAGCAGGCGGGTCAGGAGAGGTCTGCCACACCATGTGGTCACCTCCGGGACAGGCGGGGATCGAACCCATGCGGAAGTGGTCTCAGCTTCTTAGTGCTGTGCTTTAACCCGCTGCGCCACCAGGGAGAGCCCTCTTGCCTTCTTTTTAATAGGGACTGGCTCTTACAAAAATTAACACTTAAAAATTCTTAGTAAATTCTTAAGAATTTAATTTCATAAAAACAAAAGCTTAATTATTGATGTGAGCCAAGTCTGCCCTCTGATGGCATGCATTAACAAAACAAAGCGGATCTTGCTAATCTCACAATTCAAATATTGATTTTGCTTTTATTCTCCTTAGCAAAGTCATCTGTTTTAATACTGTGACCTGCAAGTCTTTCATAATGACAGAAGCCTTAAACTTTAAGGAGAATACAGAATAAAAATTCTTTTTTAGGGGCCTCCCTGGTGGCACAGGGGTTAAAGTCTCAGAGCTACCAACTTATCCCCAGTCACTGCAGCATGAGTTCCATCCCCTGGCAGGGAGCTGACCCACATGGCACAGCAGCCCTCTCCTGTTTCACCACTGTCCCCCTCAGCAGTGGATTTCAGTAGTTCTGCCTGCTCTGCTCCCCACTCTGTCTCTGTTGAATCCTCTCACCCCCCGCACCTCTGTCCTGCACCCAAGTTCTTGTATGCATAAATACATCTCTAAAAAATGGTTTTTATTGGTCATGGAACATTTTCCTTACTTACTTAAACACCGCCCAGAAGCTGGGTTAGTAAAAGAGGTGGACACTGCTGGACTCACCCTTCTAAAATGATGCACTCTTCCTCACTGTCCCCAGAGAAAGCAGGCCCTGGCCCAGGCAGCCATGGCCCCAGAGCCTACCAGAGGGCAAGGATGGAGATGATCTCCCAACACACCCTGGCTGGTTCCTGGGGTTAGTTTCTCTGTCTGAACCCTCCCTCCCCCCATTACATCCTTTTCCCACAAGGGCCTTTCTCTTCAAAGTTTCTCTTTCTTACTGAATGAGGTTCCAAACTGTGGGTATCTAGGCTCATGGTACGTCTCAGCTTTTTTTTTATTATTAAAGATTTATTTATTTATACATACAGAACTGGGTTATAGGCCAGAGGTGCAGGGGCGGTGAGAGGCTTCACCAGAGACAGAGTGGGGAGCAGAACAGCCAGATGGATGAAGTACACAGCTGAGGGGAGCAGCGGGTGGGCCAGGAGAGGTCTGCCACGCCATGTGGTCACCTCCGGGGCAGGGATCAAACTCCTGCAGAAGTGGCTTTAGCTTCTTAGTGCTGTGCTTTAGTGCACTGCGCCACCAGGGAGGGCCACTTCTCAACTTTTAACATGGGTAATGATACATCAGTAACTTCTACTTTCAAGGCAGAAGATTAAAAAGAAAATCTGCTTTTAGTAGAGTAGGTTGCTGGGACAGGGGTAGGGGAGTGGGTGGGGGCAGGGTGGGGAAGAAATTTTATTGTTTACCAAACAAAGTTTCAGTTTCGGATGATGAGAGAATTCTGAAGTCAAATGGTGGTGATGGCTTGACAGCACTGTAAATATACTGAAAGCACCTGATTCGTGTACTGAAAAATGGAGAGATTTTGTTCGGCATATTTCACCACAATATTTAAAAATGTATGCTTTGAAGAACTGTCTCTAGTCATAGAAAATTCTCCTGTAGTAGGAAGATCAGTCTTATTTTCTCTAGAATAGTTCTCGTCTCAGAACTAAAAATCTTATTTTTTAATCGGTGCATTAATATTCCAGGTGGAGAGCTTTAGCATTATGATCAAAGTATCCCTAAAATCCCTACCACAGTGATTTGTGTAGCTGCTGGAGAGTGATCTAATGTTGCCAGTTTGATAGATTGAGGTAGCAGTGTGGGAGAGATGGGGAAGAAAACGCGCAGAGGGAGATACTTAGTGATTCATGAAAAAACATGAGAATCAGGTAGTTATTATCTCTAGAGAAGAATACCCTTCTTTGGATGCTCATCTTCTCATGAAAAAAAACAAAAATAAAAAGAATCTGATCTATTTGCAGAGAGTTGGAAGGAGGACCATAATGGTGATTTAAGAATTGCTGTATATGGCCATTGAACAAATGTCAGTGGAACGGGAAAGAACTGCTATCTAACCTGACTTAAAATAGAGCCTCACATAAGCAAAGAGTATGATGAACAAAGGGCAGAGGGTGTGTTGGTAAGTGAATCATAGAAGGTGAACGGACTCTCTGTGATGGCAACAAAATTTAGAGCTTCATAATGACCAAATTAGAGGTTGGACATATGAAGGGAAGGGAGAGCTGTCTCAAAACAAATACTAAAGTAATTTCAAAAAGAAAAATGAAAAAAAGTTAAATTGAACTGAAAAAAAAAAAAAACCCTAAAAGTTGTAAAAGCATATGAAGAAAAGCTAATTCTTTGTCTGGGGTAACGCAAACCATAGAAAATGGGTATAAAAAGAATTTCAGGAGACACCAACGTCTTTTCAGGTTGACAATAGGAGGGATTTCACATTTAGTATCTTGTTTCACAGGTTTTAAGAGTAGGACAGTGTTGTCCTTTCGGGGGTTGTGGGTGGAAGATAGATTGTGAAGACTTCTTGCAATAGGCTTTAGGTTCAGATGATCCAGAGACCTTCTAAAGTTCACCCAGAATTCTCACTAGCACTTAGATGTTATTGTGAGAGGAGAAATCAATCCTGATTGAGGTGGAATGAGGGTGTGAAATTTGTTTTCTTTCTCAAGCATGGGGACACATGGCTGCAGTTGGATTTCTTTTGTATAACTCACATGTTGCCATAGACTTTGGCAGTTAGGGACAGAGCTTCATGGCCTAACAAAACCATGAAGATTGACAGCCTGGAATCACTATTACTTTTCTGTCTCAGAAATTTCTAGAGAGAGGCTGTTATAGTATCTGATACTTGTCCATCAGTTTTTGAGTCATCTAAAACTTCTGCTTTGGGAAATTATCCTGGTTCTCTTGTACTGAGACAAAAATACACATACTGGAAGGAGTCAGCCAAGGTCAACAAGTCTTGTCAGTGCACACACCTGTGTCCTTCAGTGGAAGATGGCTGTGGTCAAGCTGGGCCCATGTCCAAGTGGGAAGCTTGTGTATTGACTCACATGGTGATTGAAATAAAGTTGAGGTCTTTAAAAGCATGATGCAATTTCTGAGAATTTAATTGCATTCACAGCTGCTGTGCATGTTTTGTCTTCCTAATCCCTAGCATTATTGCTTCAGTTGCGGTTTATCAGAGCTAGGAAACCCAAATTAAAGAAAAAGAAAAAGATATATCAGTGACTTCTGATATATCTGATATTCATCCAGTTGCATGAGTGTCAGCTGGATCTGGAAACTAAAAGAATTCCTGTTGACAAGGCTAACCTTGCTGATGGGCAACATGGCCCCTACGAGGAATCCAGAATATCATTCACATGTCTCAGTGCCTGAAATTCCTCCACCGAAATTCCTGTTTGTTCTTTTGGATTCTTTTTTCTAAAAAGCCTCTTTTAAAATGCAAATAGGCTGGGGACAACGTTATAAAATTAACATATGAGGAAGGACTGGCGGCTGGTTATGTCTGTTTCCTCTGATCACAGAAGCATACACACAGGCCCTCCTGTGTGCCATACACAGGCTAAATGGCTCCATTCCCAGCTTCAGAAGGCCTAAGTCTGATAAGAGAGGCAGATAGTACACGCACTACTGAAGAAGAGAGCGTGGGGCAAGAGGGGTCAGAGGCTGGCACCAGGATGAGGGTCCATCACTGAAGAGGTGCCAGTGATCTGGTCTGCAGATGCAGTGAATGGTGTCCACCAACTGGAGAGTGGTGGGACTGTCAGCTTGTTTTCTTTGAGCTCTTTCTGGAAGAAAGTCTGGGCATCTTTATGAGAAGATGAGTAAGATCCCTGCCCAGAATCCCAGAGTGTTTCCCCAGGCTCTGCATAGCCATTAGTTTTGAATAGTTGAAGAGATTGGGAAGGAATTCTTAAGAAAAATCCAAGCAACCTCATCATCCTCCCTTGGGAAGGTCATATCCTTGGACCAGCATTCAGTACATTCCTTAATCCCTTTGTAGAGGAATGAAAGCAGAACACCAAGATATTTGTTTGATTTTTATCTCAAACCCCTGGCTGTCACTCAAAGATAATTACTTTGGTTTTGGTGTATTCATATTATTACTTTTCTCAACTCTGGAATCTTCTTTCCATGGTTCAAAGTGTGGTTTAAAGATGCTGAAGCCAGACCACCTGGGTTCAGATCCTGGCCCAACCACAAGTTTCTCGTTCCCTGCTTCAGTTTCCCCTGTCCTTTATCCAGGTGTATATAGGGATAATTATGGGTTCAATACCACTAAAGGGGTTTGAGGCTTTGGTGAGTCAATTCTGACACATAAAATACTTACAACGAGCTAAACGCTGAGCAGCTAGGGGCTGTTGTCTGTTCTTATCCCTGCACTGCAGAGAAGCTCCCTGAGATTGTTTGAGTTAGAGTGAGACTGTCAGAACCTGCCAGTCAACTGAAGCTTTCTCTGAGGACCAAAGTGTGCCAGTGGGTCTGCAACACAGTGGCCGGCATAGCCCCTCCTCAACCTACAGCCCATTGAGGAAACAAGACACCTATAAATGCACACTGCCAAGTACCATAGGAGTCTAGAACCACTGTGGAAACAGTCCCCACATCCTCTCTGCACAAGCCTGGGCAGGTGCTACCACCTCCACTTCCTGCCTGATCATAAAATGCTGGAACCTTGGCAGGTGGGGTTGCCTCACGAGAATATGTTAACCTATGGGGAGCCGGTGGGTTTTGTTTTCTTCCCAAAGTGACGGGTTGTAATGAGCCCATGTCTGCATCTCTTAGGTTTGGAGGAGACCAGCCCGTCTACATCAACATCATCAGAGACCCCGTCAGCCGGTTTTTATCCAACTATTTTTTCCGACGCTTTGGAGACTGGAGAGGGGAACAGAATCACATGATCCGCACCCCCAGCATGAGGCAGGAGGAACGCTACCTGGTAAGTGCTGTCGTGTTGACAGGGCGGCCGTCCCTGGCAGGTGCATGCCGGGCCACAGAGTGAGGCTTGTGCTCAGGGCGAAGGTGTGGCCAGTGAGAACCTGTTCCAGAGGACCCTTCCCCTAATGAATGTTCTACCCACAGACTTTCTAATCTTGCTTTGCTCGTCTAGCCTGTAGTGCTAGAGTTTAGGTCCTGTAGAGAGTCGTTCTGATTGGTGCTACTTATTGCTTGAGATGTGTTTGGGTGTGTCTGAGGGGGGTGGTGGTCACACAGCTGTCCCTGGCCTCATCCTGTCAAGCCTCATGGCAATCCTGCCCTGTGGGAGTTGCCAGAGGGGACCCTGAGGTTCCAGATGAATGTGGCCCAACCACAGCTGACTTTCCCTGTCCTCGGACAAAGTATTTTTGGGCAGACTGTGGCACACTCTTTCTGAATCCTCTGACGAGTAGTTCTCAGGTTCTTGCCACAAAACATTTTCAGACCATCTCAAGCAAAATTTGACTGCCTTTTCTGGACCCAGTTTCAGGCCTTAGGGCTTTAGTGTCTGTCCTAATAATTGTTTCCACAATGCAGGGTTGATAACAATGGAGGAGGGCGAGATATGCATCTTTCAGCCAGAATAAGGCACAGCTCTCATGTTTGTGACCTGGGTTGACAAAAGCTTGCTGAGTATCACAGAGCCTGGCCTTAGGAGGTTGAAATCCTCGGTGCTGTGTCTGTAAGAACCCATTGGATTCACCTGGATCCAGCCTGCGCTGCCAGGCACTAGCTGAAAGAGAAGAAGTGTTAAGGGGCCCATGCTGATCTATTCCCACCACTGGAAAGTGCCAGTCTTTGCCCCTCCTGGAGGGGCCCAGCACCTTCCTTATAGCTAGAGAAAAGTACCACTCATCACAGTTTCAGCAAAATGCCAGAACTTCTATTCTGTCATTTATTTTTAATTTTATTCATTTTTGCATAGAAGATCTGGGGTGTAGGCCAGAGGTGCAGGGGAAGGGGTTGGGGTGATTCACCAGAGACAGAGTGGGGAGCAGAACAGGAGAATCCACTGAAATATACTGCTGAGGGGAGCAGCGGGGAGACAGGAGAGGTCTCCTGCGCCGTGTGGGTCAGCTCCCTGGCTGGGATCTAGCTCAGGCCTTAGGCCTTAGAGGTGATAGTGCTAAGTTTAAGCCCTAGGCCACCAGGGAGGCACTGGCTTTTTTTTTTTTTTTTTTAAATGCTATGTAATGAAAGTGATCTTTAAATGTAATGGCAGTATGTGTTTGATGGATTGAAGTATATTGTGATGTCACCTTCATGTCTCAAAATCCATCCAATACAGCTAAATAACTTCAATAACTTCTAAGCTAAATTTTATTGATGCAAGATCCACAGTTTTGATTCTTGTAATTTATTCCCTTTGTAAGTTTTTATTTATTTTTACTAAATGCTGACTGAAATTGATACTACCCCCCCCCCAAGAAAAAAAGAGACAGTTTTGGAAACAAAAACAGTTCCTGCCCTTGAAATATTCTGTAGGTGATGTGTAAATCCATAGTCCGCTGGAAGATGAAAGTGATTTGAAAAAGGGAGAAAGTAGAGGGGTGGTCCCAGGAATCCAGAATGCCCCGGGCAGTGGGATCAGGCTGCAGTGTTAATAAAGAGGTCAGGGAACACACTGGGGATGTGGCATTTGAACATCTGTTAGAGGGAGAGGTGCACTGGTCAGCTGGTCATCAGGGAGACACAGCTCTGATGCGGGCGTGGGGGCGGCTGGAGCGAAGCCCTGCACGGAGTACAGGTGTGATTGTGACTCCTTCCAAGATCAGCAGGGGTTGTAGTGTGGTGGTGTAGCGTGATGGGTGTGAATGGGAAGAGGTAAATTCAGAGAGGTGAGGTTTAGAGGTGACAGATCATGTAAGACCCTGATTGTGACTGCAATTACTGTGATTAGGAAGTGGCTGGAATGACCCCAAATCAAATACTTTAATTAGTGATTCCTTCTGATTCTCTGCTAAGAAGCTGAGCCCTTTACAAAACAAGGAATGCGTGCGTCATGCCATCGGCCTTCAAACATCCTCAACAATCCCCTTTCCCCCTGCACCCGGAAGTCCAAACTTATCCCTCCTGCTCTACACCTGTATCTGCTTGACTCCTGGATGCTTGGCCTGGAAGTCTCGCAAGATTCCTAACACTCAGCTCCCAGAGGGAGCTGTTGAAAATGGCGTTTGTGGGATGGTGACTGCAGTGTCGCACAGAGCACAGCCTTTGTGACTGTCCAGGGAAGTCTTCGTATTCTGCCTCGGCTCCCCCCACGTGCCTGCTATCTGTGTCGCTCCTCTGGGTTACAGTATCTTTCTCATCTCCTTCCAACAGCCTACTTAAGTCCTTTGAGGACAAGATAGCATCAGAGTCCCATCTGCCACGATATCCAGAAGAGGGGTAAAGTACTGAGAGCCTCCATAGCCCTCCACTTCATAAATGAAATCAACAACAAGAAAATACTCATGTAGGTCTTGAAGGGAATTTTCTAGGTTTTTCTGCCCTGTCAATTTTTAGCACCCACGTGGTGTCTCCACACTGTCCCACAGTATTTTAGCGAGAGAAGTTGTAAACATGAGAGAAGCAATCATGATTTAAATAACTAAAGATTTTTAAAAACCTTTAAGATGTTGAAGATTGGTTATGAAGGCACACTTTATATTCTGGAAAAGCTGGTAGTCACACTTATGGTACAGATGTGAGAGATTCTGGGTCGATTTCTCTAGAATTCTGCCCTTAGAGATTTGTAGGGGCCCTCCCCCCAACTGTCAACTCTGCATTTAGGGAGCAGCTTGTGTCAGATGAGCTCACCAACTCACCCTTTGATGAGGCCTCCGCAGTAGAGCACATGGCTCCCCACAGCAGCAGAGGGAGAAATCAGGGGAGCCAGCCAGTGAAAACGGGGTGAGGGACATGTGACTCCTTCCTGATATGGCCCCAACTTGACCCGAGTGAAGGCTGTTTGCTGGTTCAAAGGATAGTTTGTTTATTTGGAAGAAGATTGTCTATTGCTTTTTTTAAAATAGCTGAACGTTTTTCTTCCATCTCTTTGGTCCCATTAGACCCTTGAAATAAAACTACCCTCTTTCACAGCCTGTCTTCATTTTGGCAAGCCTGGGTGGTCAGTTGTTTGATTCAAAAGAGGGGGTTGTTTGTGTGGTGGGGTGCAGGGCAGCTGCGAGGAGCCCACAGGCCTTACTGAGGTCCTGTCAGGGGCCAGGGTGTAAGAGGGGGTGAGTATAGCAGGGCTCCCCCTTCCCCCCACCCCAGGAGAGCAGGCCGAGGCCTCTCCTTGCACAGGACGTACACACTGTCTTGGGTTCTGGCCCAGATGGGTCTACTGATTCACCCACATTATTCCAGATCTCAGTGCTCCAAAGCCTCTTGCTTTCTCCAGTGCCAAAACTCATGCGGTTCTGCTCCTGGCTGCGAGCCTCTCAGAGCTGCTTAGCATACAGCTGGAGGGGCCTCAGAGCCTGCTCTGGGTGAAATAATATCATCTGGGGTGCTGTGTGGTTTAGAAGGTGATGGAAAAGTGTCGAGGAGTGTTAAGATGTTCAGGGTGCTGGTGAGCATGAGGAAATTCATTTCACAAGTGCAGGAACCAGGCCTGGGCCTGGGAGTAGATGAGGGGCCCAGGCAGGAGTAGACAACTTATTGTTTCATGACTTGGACCTTATGTTTCATTTCCTATCTGGTAAAGGGAGAACAGGACTGGACCATAAGCATAGCTCAAAGAGCACAGAATTTTGGTTGACATCATCTATGCAGTTTTACAGAGACAGGGTTGTTATAATATTTTTTCAAAGTATTCAAGAATCTTATAGCTAGCCCCCATATTTTCTGGAAACAGATTTTCTAAAAGTTTCTACTTTTTTAAAAATTTATACTACGGATACAGTTTGTTTTTTTTTTTAATTGGTTTCCAATACTATGTAAATACTATGGAAGTTGCAGGGGACAGCTCCACACCTCCAGAAGTGTATATACCCTGTCGCACCCACCCGTCAACATTACTGCACCATCCATTCCTAGCAAACTGACCTGTTCCCCCACACCCCTTTTCCTTCCCCTCTGATCACCACCTTTTTGTTTTAAGAATCTACGAATTTTAGTTGTGCTCTCTTCATTTGTTACCTTTGTCTCTTTTTATTCCAAACCGTCTTCATTTGCATTTACCAGAAAAATAATTTTAAAAAGACATTGCTAGGATGGGTATAAAATTCAGCCTACAGCAGCCAGACTGTGAAAAGCCCATTCACCTAGCTCTTTCCTCTCTATCCAGAGTCAGATCCTGACTGCCTGGTGCGCAGGTGATGGCCCCCTACCTGGGTTTTTAAAGCAGGGCACCCCAAAGCCCAGGGACACTAGGATGTACCCCCGCTCTTGATACATCTCCGGTGGGAATCCAGGAGCCTTTAATTCCAGGGCAGAGAAACGACACATGGCGCTCAGAACACGCCCATGAAGGACGAATGGCTGTCAGGAGAAGCAGCTATTCCTTCCTGAGAAGACGCTTCCTTTCCAGCAGCTCCCTCTCCCTGGCCTGACTTTCTTGTGCCATTTCCAGCCCATCAGTTACACAGAGGTGATCTGAGCTGGCTGGTGCCTGTAACCTGACCCTAGGCAGTTTCCTGGTGAAATAGTCTGCTTAGATGCCCTTGGCACTTTCAAATTCCAAAAAATGTCAAGTTGGGCTCCTGACCCAAACTAATTCATCACTAACTGGACCTTCACTCGATGTTCTTCCATTTGAAACCAAGGGGAGAGGAGGCAGCTTTGCCAGGGAGCAAGCTCTTCAGGGACCCTGTTGGTTCTGCTTGGCTATAGAGTGTGGAAACTAATGCATGGCTGGGAGAAAAACATGCATAATTTACAGCTTCTTAATTCATAAAGAATTTGGTGAATCATGTTGGACCAGTTGAATTCTGGAGAAACCCAAACACTGGCCAGTATTGGCAAAGGTTTTCCAAA